CTATTGGACTCAAACATTGAAAAGGTGACCACAGATTGTTAAAGTATTTCATGTATTAGAAGTGGTAATGAGGAGAGAAGACAGAGGGACTTACAAAAAGCTTCAGGAACTTGAGAATCCGCTTGTGTGTGAGGATGTAAAGTGTGTTTCCAGTCAGTGGGTCGATTACAGGCAGTCTGTGGATCTTATTCTTCAGCAGTGATGATACTGCATCATACAAGCTGTGAACAGAAGAACACATGATCAAGGTTTTTCAGATGCAACCAGTTGTGAGATACTATGTAGCTGAGTGAAAAATAATTGATTGGAGACGTATAAAAAATTACGTTTATCTGCAGGTATAGAGAGAAAAGCAAAAGAAGAAATTATGCAAGTGTAAGTTTAGTACAGCAGTTACACAGAAAATATTGTGTAAAAACAAAAATAATAATTCAGATCAGATCTCCCAGCAACCTTTTCTGTCTCTCAGTTCTCTCAGAACATGGCAGAAACAACTACACATTTGGAGTTGTATTATTGATAACTTTAACTTATTCATACGATTCAATCATTGACAATACAGAAACTGCTTATATTAATATCACTAACTTATTTCCAGGTTGTGCCTCAATGTACAGAGATATGGGTCAAAAGAATAGGGGTTGGAGGATATTGTATTACACCTGAAACTTTAGTACATATAACCAGACAGTATTGACATTGCTTAAGAAAGACAAACTGTTAAGGCTAACTACCACCGGCTGAGCCCTCTAGCTGTACGCCCCAACATGCAACAACTGTGTATTCAGGGAAATGAAATTTGAAACCAACAACCAAAATGATAATGACGACCAAGCATGAACAAGATCACACACTCACCTTGCATTAGGAGATATGCTAACCAAGGGCTTGAAAGAGTCTTGTAGATACAACTCTATTGTAAAAAAAAACAGAACAAATAAACACAAAATGTAGTTTGAAAAGTAATTGTTACTGTAATTTACTTTCTGTTATCCATGCTCACCTCTCCATGTTTCTATTTTGTGCTCTTCCAACTCATATATCTGAACCTAGTACATCGAGAAAAAGAACAGGGACCTTTAAAGGCTACTGAGAAACAATTCAAGATGATCTCATCATTAAAGGACTACAAAGACCATCTTACCAAGGGAGATTTGTAGTAACGATGAAGGATGTTTATAAAGTCTGTGATGGTTAGCATACCTGTGCAGATGCAGAGAAGCATCAAGTCAGTACTTAATCAAGTGTTAGACCAACTCAATGTGTTTTGACTAGAAATCATTCTTACCAACAAAGCACTGTTTCTTACTGTCCCATAGAGGTGCTGCTCTTACCCCGTTAGAAACAAGAGCAAAAAATGCCTTCTTGACCTGAAAAATAATTTACACAATGTTTGAAATGTGAAATATCTAATTGGCGATACATTAAACTTTTTAGATTCATCATTCATGTTTCACCTGTAGGGATGTATCAAACACGACCAATTTGGAGCTTGTAGGTACCAGGTCATAACACCGGTGGGACTTCATAAACCTGGTGTACACATTGTGCTCTGGGTCTAAAGGAATAGAAAAGAATAGAATTACTTTATTGATCCCAAACTGGGAAATTGTCGCGTTACAGCAGCAGGTTATCCAACACACAATGAGTAAAAAAAAAACCCACAATGTTAGCAAATCGAAACACAATATAATATTAACTACAAAGTAAATATGTACTAAAAATATCAAAACTAAGAATGTGAATATATACAACCAACCAGGATTTAACTAAGCATTACTAGTCTTAAATAGGAAGATTAAATTTAAATGTGCAAGAACAGAGTTGTAAATGGACAGTATTGACATAAGTTAAAGTGCATGAGTGTAGACTTATTATAAGCAGAAACTATACAATATAACGGCGAGTAGACAGCCAAATGAAGTGAATGAGATGAGCTTTTCATCACACTTTCTGTGCTGTTAAATTTCACTCATTTTATGTTAGTGTTACAAGATTAAAACAAGTCATGTACCCTCTATCAATGCGTCCTTTTTGCACTCTAGATCATCAACAGGTACTGGAATCTGAAATAAAACAAATAAAGGTCATGAAGTTTCACTTTGTCTCGGTAACTGAAGGTTTAAGGGATCAGTCATTTATTCTTGTTAGAGTTAAATAAATAGCAGTGACTTGCCTACCAATTATAATGATTTAGGTACAATCCTTATAATAGTTATGTTTATCCACAATGCTGTTATTAATATAAGTGCTAAGTGTAAGACAGGATAGGGAATGAGTATTCATCAAGATCTCTCCATAAACAGGTCCACTTCATTACCACGACAGGTAATTATATCTTGTGTCAAGGTGTCAACCCTAAATATATATATATATATACGGTTATATGCATGGATATCTGAGATTAGCTCTTTAATTTAACAACATTACCCGGTTGGCAATACTTGGTGAGAAACGCTAAACCATAGTTATTACATGAGCAAAGTATCCACGTCCAGCTAGCTAGCGTCATGGTTTGTTGTTGTCGTTTAGTGGAGGTGACTTTCCATTACAGCTCTCAGCTTTTACCTCCGTTATCCTGCACTAACATTGTGTAGCAAATTGTTTTGTATGAGAAATGATTGTACATCGATATCAGCCTTTACGCCTTCGTCATATCCTCCGGGAACAATGTGTTTGTCTTCCTCATAGTTACAACGAACGAGCTTGTCCTTATAGTTAGCTAGCCACTACCGTTAGCATGCTTCGGAAAGTCTTTAAGTTGTAGAGAGGTAGACGGTAATTGAGAAGCTTTACTATGAAAGTTGACGATGTAGGCAGTTTGGAAAAGGACTGGATAACTCACACACTCCATGTCCCATTCGCCGTGTCGTCTGCCTGTAAGTATGTAGGATCCAGGATCCTGAAACTTGCAACCCGCACAGGTCTTCCGCAACAACTGAGCAACTTGAATGGCAGTCTGATGGTTACCGTAATACATGTAGTGTTATCGCACCATAATCTCAAGTATGAAGCAGACTGCGAGGCAAACCCAAAGCAGCAATGCCGTACAGGCCTACACACGACACCTACATATTGGAATATTCTCCCACTCACAATAAGAGACTCACAAACATGTGCAACCTTCAAAACACACCTCAAACAGTGAATATAAGAAAACCAAGTCTGTGACCACCTTTAACCTCTATTATTGTCTTGTGTCACTTGTGCCTTTGTATTTGTATTTTATTTTTTAATTTGTCTTTCTCTGTTACCTGCCTAGGGACAACAGATGGAAACTAGCACTTCTGCTATAATCTGGCATTTTCACAGCTGTAATTGTTACAGCTGTTCATTAATATGCACTGTCCCTAACAAATACATTAAAATATTAACAAGTTAAAAAAGAGCTCCACACAGTGGTAAGTTTAAATCGTGTTTTCTGTATAATAAATTCATCTTATACATTGCTTTTTGAAAGCTTACGTTTGAGGAAAAGCACGCATGATTTTCATTAAATCAGTCAGCCCTATAAATACATCGAAATGCCACAAAAATACAATTATACGCTGGTGTTCAAGGACAATTGTGCTACATCTGATTGACAACAGAAACGGCGATTTGCAAACTAATTTACTCACATCGCTGTCGAAGTGAAACTGACCAAAAATATAACAAGAATCAATGTTGACTGTGCATTAATAATGCTTTTTGCTACCTAAATAATGAAACAAAAGTCAACACATCAAATGAGTAACAGATTTATTTATATACAAAACTGTTTACAGCAAGATTTCTGAATTAACATTAACCCCCAAGGGTGTAATAATGTTCAGGTGTACAACACCACCTGCACCAAAGTATCAAGTGAACAGAAGAGGGTGGGGGTGGTGGGGGACCTTGAAGAGCACCTTAAGTCATGACGGGAAGAAGATGGGGGTGTTCGAAGAACTGTAAGGCACAAGACACAGCATCACCAGCTTCTCTTTAACCATCAGCAATCACCCGAAAAACTATCTATTCAGCAAAGCACTTGATAAAAAAAAACAACAACTTAGAATTACCCACTACAGGTACAACATCAGGATTATGAAGACAAATGCACATTGTGCTATGTCTTTGTAAGGCTACAAGAGTTAAGAGGAGAAGTCATTTAGGATCTTAAGCATCTGACAGTGATCATGCAAGGCCCAATATCCAATAAAAGGACAACATGCCAACTTGGCTTAGTTTTATTTGGCTGTCATGATCCATAGAATCCAAACCATGAGCTAACTTTGTGGCCTTCAGCCACTTAAATTCTTGTGCAGTGTTCAATTCTATTTGAAAAAATATCCAATCAACAATGTTCATAATTATATTGCATTTCAAACCATATATTCTCCTAAAGGATATTGAAGGGATAGCACACCTGCACCACTCAGCATATAACCAATAATAAACTATCTTTGATTCTATGCATGTTGTATAAAAAGGCCATGGCTGGTTAATACCAAAGATCTATTTATAGCTATAATAAATTTCTGATGGATGTCAATAACATAACATCTCCATTACAGTAAATTAGAAGAATTAAACTGTTGATACAAAGATCTAATCCACTTCACAGAAGAGCTTTAAATGTGAGTTAAGATAAACAGATCCCTCCATTGTGAAGACACAAGAGTTCCAGAGTCCATTGGTGAAAGGTACCTGAAGATGAGTTGATAAATATAACAGTGACACAAACAGTGAGATTTCATGTGTGAAACCTCATTCCTGGGTGTTTAAGGAAGTCCACTATTTGTGAGAAATACTGACATTTTAGCACCACATTTAAAGCAATGTGTACTGTGACTGTCAAAAAAGACCTGCTAGATAATACCAATCCTTAGACGGTTACAAGTCCTCACTTGAGATTAGCTAAACTAGTCAGTTATGAGACATAAGCCAATGATGTCTCAGACGTCAGAACCCATTTTTAAGTTCTTGGAAAAAGTGTGATGCAATTCAAAAGAATCAAATACTTTTCAATTCTATTCTTTTTTTTTTTTTTTTTAATGTTTTCTGGCTTAACTCAAGGTCAAGATTTTCAGAAGTCATAGATAACATTCCTGTACTAAAGAAAGTGTTGGTTGACTGTGCTTCTTTGCCTTAAACAGAGATTAATCTTGCTCTTGGAAACTTCTACCTTTACATTCACCGGGATAGTTTGCAGACTGTCTTGGCAGTTGTCTTGCTATGGAAATCAAGATGATATCATGGTGGAGCAGAAATCAATCTACTGCCATGTCTTGGTATTTGTGAGGTTGCGTTTTGTTGGCCGGTGAAGATGTGCCTCCTGTCTTCAGCAACTGAGTTTACTGATGTCCTGGATACACTCTTACATCACAGCACACTTCTTCTCCTCTTGGGGGGCATTTCCATCAGCTTTCTCCATCTCCAAAATGATCCGCTTGAAAACCTCCACTGCAGTCTTCATAGACAGAACATTGTCATCAGAGTGGGCAGAAAAAAACAAAACTTTGCACTGCATCAATTAGCTTATAATGAAAAATATTTCTTATATTACCTCATTCTCCTTGGCTGAGGACTCCATGAATGCAGCACCCATGGTATCAGCAAGTTTCTTTCCCTCCTCTGGCTTAATAACTCTATGAAATATGGAATGAAAACTTCAGTCTACACAGAGAACTCTCTTTTTGTATAACAAACATATAGTGACTGAGCTCTTGTTTGAGTGGAATGAAACATAAAAGCAGAGCCAAAGAGAAAAGTTTGTTGGATAGTTTCAAAGGTTACACATTAAAATATTCTTGATATCATTGATTGTCAAGATAGATATAATGTTGGTGCATCTCTAAAATACTTTTGAACATTATCCGCATGTCTTTGACCTTCAAGTTTAAGACTTTTTTTGAAGGATTATAAATGCAGAGTAGACTGTATGTCCACTTACAAACTTGAGAGCGTGGTGATCTTGTTCAAGCAAATATAACTCAATCAGGAGGGGAAAGCATTTTTGGGGGATTATTTTGTGCTTAAATGTTTCATTGAGTGTGCCCCTTAAGGTAATGGCATATGATGGTGATACATCATAATGGTAAATGACTGAGCTGACGCAAAAAAAAAAAACATGTTATCTAGTCCAGCAGTGCAGCATGTACATGGTGTGTACCTTTTTGATATTTTGTGGGAAACCAAAAAAAAGGTCTAAAGCCATTTTAAGACTTTGGTTACAAAGGCAATATATGTTAATAAGATCAAGACCTTTTTTTCTTTGGATTTATTTTACAAAGCAAACCCAAGATATCGCCATGTTTATCTTTCATTTACCTAAATAAAAAGTGCTAGCCCTTCAAAATTGTCTATGACGTTGAGTTTTAGATTCAAAGAGCAATAATTCAGAATTCACGGTGTTATTACTTATCTGTCAGGAACAACAAACGCAAAGTTTGTCCAGCAAAACTTTCATCATATTAATCACCTTTCCATGTGGAGGTCTTTTTTGTTCCCTACAAGAACAGTTGGGACTCTAAACAGGAAAAACAGAAGGAACAACAGTTGAGAAAAAGGTTTTATGGAACAACAAAAAGGGACAATTTTGGAAACAATGACTACAAAAGATTCAGTCACACTTACTGAATCTTCCCAACCATGTCCAGCATCTTGTCATGTAGAGCCTTCACAACTTCAAAACTGAAAAGAAACCACAAATAAAGTGCTTTTTAGATACGCAACTGAACATCTAATTTGCTTTTACTTACTAATAATAATACCAAGTATAATAATTCAGTGCAAGTCCCAGGATGTTTAACTGGTTAAAACAACAGAAAAACAGTATTAAACCACATCAAAGATGAAAGCATTGAAAAATACCTTAACAATGACTTAAGCCCTCTTAGATACAGTATTTTTAAGAATGAACAAAAATATTCTATCACGAACGGTAAAACTTCACAACTTCAATTATAATAATACAAGTATCGATTGTAAAAACACATTGATTGAGGACTGTTAACTGTGTAGTCCTCATTATTCATAACGATTTTGAAAGTTCTAAACCATCTTATTACCTTTTCGCAGAAGTCACTGAGTAAACAAGGACGTAACCATGGATATCCATTGTGTGGGATTGTGGAAAAATAGAGTACTCATCCTTGAGAAGAAGAGAAGGTGTCAAGTTATTTGGAAAAATGGTACAAATGTGATGGGAAATATTATGCACTGTATAAACAACGTAAGAGTACAACTAAGCAAATAATTCAATACACCACAGAGAACACAGTAGAGAACGTACCACAGAAATGTTTTAACTTTCTGGGAGATTTATCTACTGATGTTACAAAAATTACCATGACACCAAACACCAAACACTATTAAATAGAATCTTAAAAGACCAGAAAACTTTCCAATCAGACATCACGTCATAATACCAGCAATGCATACATTTTAATTAAAGATCTAATATGTCATAATTGTCCATTTAAAACCAGTGGCTGTGTCAGATTGATGTGGTGAAAGATGAACAACTTACTTGTCCAGCTGTATCAACCAGCTGAAGATTAAAGTCCTGACCATTCACATTGACCAGTTTGTTAAAGGCTGGGGAGAGGGGGGAACTGGTTTTACTCAACATGTCTTTACATTTGAGACAAATCAGCTGGAACAGATGCAATGTCTTTTTAAGGACACAATAATGATACATACTGTTTTCGATGGTGGGATCGTAGGAGTCAACAAACTGTCCTTCCACAAACTGTATCGTGAGGGATGACTTTCCTGTGCAATGCAAACAATGAACAAATGAAGGAATACAAATTCATAAATCGTCTTAACATTTTAGAATCGTATCACAAACTAATTCAGAGGCTAGTGAAGCTGTACTGACAGGTGTGCTCTGTGCTTATCACATAATTATAAACATTTTTTATTTCATATCAGTTCAACAGGTATGAAAAGTATGACGTTGACTGTCTCCAGTGTAGACACCAACAGAGTTGAATGTTAATATAATACTTTCTGTGTTTACTGTATTTGATAGGTCGTGTAAGTGTACATCGGTCTTGTAAGGACATTTAAGAAATTCAAAGGCAAACATTACGGTAACAAGCGCATTTACTTTGATAATCCACATACTATCATTGTACAGTTACACACGACTGACTGAAAGTTTCGTCCGCCGCATCAACACTAAAGCAGGATGTCGTCGACCGAGCCTCCTTTATTCACACCAACACGTCAGAAATAGTAGCAGATGGTTTCACCTATTCAACAGGATAACGCTTTTCTCAGTGTTGATTAGTAATCAGTTGCTTTGTGTAACACAAAGACGCGTGAACAAAGGTAACCACGCGTTACTAGTGTCAGTCGGACACATACAAGAGGAAAACAAAGCCAGGACTTTAGCATGTTAGCAAGCTAGCTGCCTGGCATTAGCTGTACTCGTGTGCTTTACTCACCTACAGACCTGTAACCCATAACTGCAATCTTTCGATGTTTTGGTTGAGGCATTGTGAGGAAAACGGTGTTCAGTTGGCTATGGTAAAGTAGACCGCCACCTAGTTTTACAACCGAAACAAACTTTTATCGCCACATTCGTCTCACGTCACGTGACAACAACAAACTTTTCAGAGCTGCCGCTCGAGCTCTCTGCTGGGCCTCGAGCTGGAAGTTCAGAGTTAAAGTACAGCAAGTACGACTCGTATTAAACCCAGGAAACGTCTCTCTCTGGACCATATATTGTAAAAGATGTCGATCGTTAATTGTAATTTATGAAATAGACGTTTCAACGGAAACATGAAACGAAAAAAAAAGGCTGTTCAACACGACTACGATTTGCAAGTCAAAGTGACGGAAACTGTCATTGTGTAAGCACACCGTCGTAAAACAAGCGAATACGTCAGAAGGGACATCGACGTGAATTTGTACAGCAGAGGTCACTCTTTGTGCATCCCCTTGGTTTGTATGCTACTAGCCATTTTAGACTTTTCCAGATCTAAAAAAAAACCATATGGAACATTTTGCAGGGCTTCATATGAAATGTGGTTTTCCATTGTTTCACTACACAACAATAAACAGAACTTCAGTATAGTGGATTGTGAACGTCTACAGGTGGTCGGTCAAATAATACATTAACAGATCCAGGAGTCCCTACCATGTATTGCTTGTCTGACCATAACATAACTCAACATATGTAACGACCATTGGATAAAAACAAACAGGCCAAAAATAATTCATACTTCAAAACCTTTGAAGAAAAATAAATTATAGAGAATACAAAATCATCTTCTAACATCTTAGTGTTTATGAATGATCGATGTTAATAACTAGGCTATTAAACTGTATGGCGTAACTTTTGACACTATCTCTCTTTAGAAGGAACTAGTCATCATGTTTATGTATTGTGTTGAAAATGTTAAGAAAGAAAAGTTGGTGAGATAAAACGTAATTCATAGGCTGCATCTCGTAAGGTTCAACCATTATGGACCAAACAAGATCATGATAAAGTACTGCCAATGAGACTATTGGCTTCTAAAACAAGTTATATATAAAACCATCTTAAAAGGATCTTTGCAAAGGCAAACCCCAAATTCCCTGCATGGTCGAATTTTGTTTAGACAAAACTAAAGTTTATGATTTCAAAGGTTTGACTTTGAAACAATTAAGGAGGTGTTGAAAATCTTATCACGTTACATTGTTGTATTTCTGGTATTGAAAAACTATTCAATAAAATGTGTTACCTGTTGATTGCACTGTTTATGAACGGCAACGTTGTTAAAATAAAATAAAAAACACCTTTGATATAATACGGTTAACTCGTCTTTTTTCCCTTTGATATAAAGGAGCAGTTTTGCTCTGTCTAAATAATGGTAAAAATGAATGAAAGAACGCTTACAGTTAGGAATCACCATAACATATTGGTATGTGTGTATAGGAATTTATTTAAAACAAGTTGGGAGTCATAGCCTTCAAATGCAGTAGTTTACGAGATATTTTAAACCGAAACAAAGAGTGTCTGTTTACGAAGCATAAGCAGCAATCTGCAATTCAGATTGCACTTTACTTTAGCTGATGTGTGTTTATATGCCGATTTGAAATCTTAACCACCTTTACATGTTACAGAAATGTGATACTTAAGGTTTTTTGATTGATTAAATTTATTTCAGACATATCAAATAAAATCAAACATATCAAAAATACAAAACAAAATGAAAAGCACGAAAATACAATAAACAAAAAACAATGTTCAAATTATTTCACAAAAAAAGCAAAAGCAAATTACATATATTCAATTGATATGCCTGAAAAGGAGTAGGAAGAAGTATAAAACTTTTTTAATCCTACCCCTTTTCCACAGCTCAATAATTAATATTTATTAAATTAAATTAACTTCCTGTGTTCCTTATAATCGCTCTATATATACAATCTATCTATATAGAATTTGCTATACTATATTTATGATACTATATTTGATATTTGCAATCCAATGATTGTCCATACATATATACAACTTGGTATACTATGATTTTTTATAATTTATATATTTATACAATCCTTATATCTATACAGTTTGGTACAGTATGTTTACAATTATACATTTAATACAATCTATATATACAATTTGATATAGGCTACTATATGTACAATTTACATATATATATATATATCTATATATAATACACATTAACATACACCTGTGTATACAGAACTTGTAAACCCAATTATTATTATTGTTATTATATTTATTTTATTATTGTTATTATTATTATTATTTGTTCCTTCTTAAAGCTCTCCCTCATCCCTGTACCTTTTGAAAATCAAAAGTGTGTGTGTGTGTGTGTGTGTGTGTGTGTGTGTGTGTGTGTGTGTGTGTGTGTGTGTGTGTGCGCGCGCGCTACATTTGAGGAATCCAACCGGAAATTGTCTGGAGCAGAGGGTAACCGCTGCCGGGAGATGCTGCCGTCATAAACAGGCAGATGAAAATACAGAATAAACTCACTGAAACGGCCCTGACAGGTAGGAGGAATGCGCCTGATGTGCGGGGATCCGTACAAGTAACGTAATTTCCTTCTGCCTCCGCTGTGACATGTTGTTAAAGTCAGCTCCAGCCCTTCAGGGAAGGCAAGTTAGCTAGCTAACAACCAAGTGGCTAACAGTAGCATCTGGGAGGCGGTGGCTGCCATAGCAACCGTTTAGGAAACAATACTGAGACGCTAGCTAGCTTACACAGTAGAGGCTAACCTCGGTTTGTTATGCTAGCGTCAAACATACCGTAGTCGATACTTGAATGTCCAATTTAACATCAGTCAGCCAAGCTATGACACAACGTCGTTATTTGTCTTGTTCCTTCGCCCACATTACTTAGCAGTCAGTCTGCTAAACGCTTCAATGTAAGCTGTTGACGATGGCAAAGGGTTGTAACCTTGTGGTGTTTAGTGTAGCTAGCTTGGCTTAAGGGTAGTTTTCATCACAAGCAGTGAGCTAGCGTTAGCTGGCAAGGCCCACCCGTAAACTTAAGTTATCTGTTATCTGGCCAAGCGCTATCTCTGTCTGTGGTGGGCTACATGTTGTTTTTACAGAGAGGCCTGGCATCGAGTTAGCTGTACATTGAATTACTTCATCACTGTTGTCTGAGGCCAGACTGAGCCAATCAGCTGATATATTGTTAATGTTAGAGAGTTTGCGTTAAGTTAGCTTCTAAATTAGTTTTCCTTTTTTTTCCTTAAAGGAGCAATACGCCTCCATCAGCTGATCTTTTTATATTGTTTTTGTAGTTGTTTAATATTTTAGTCAAACATTGCTGCAGGGTATGTGAAATTAACATCACTTAATCTTTAATTGATTTTGAAAGACTAGGTTGCATTTGGAGATTTTTTTTGTCTTGTCTGATACCAGTTTGGCCTCCCATGCATCCGTGAATTGAATATCATAATGTGACATGTCCAACACCTGTAAATACTACATGTCTCTTTCTTCATGATTAATGTGGAATGAGTACAGTCTTAACTCTGATGAATATGTGAGACTCAGACAGCATCATCCTAACATCTGACATCATATTTCATATTGACTAGTATGGACGTTGAAGACTGCAATGGCCAATCTTACATATCAGGTAGGATTACGGTTTATTTTCTCACTGATTTACCTTCCTACAAAGCTATGCAAAATATAAGTATGACAAAGATGCCTTTCTTTCCCTCTGGTTTCAGCAAGTGGAGACTCTTCAATGGAGAGGGAGTTTTCTGGGGCCCTTAGAGGACCAACAGCGAGCACTCCAAACAGCAAAGAGGGCTCTCCTAGTCGCTCCCTCAGTGGTCAGTGTGAAAGAAAGTCTGAATCGTACAAAAGAACAATTTAAATCTTTGGTTATGGTTTTAATTATGTCCAAGTAAATCATGGGGTCATATATCATTTCATTTCATATTTGATTTATTTGCTCATTTTAGTGTTTGGTTCCCACAAAATATAACACTGTCCATAAGAAAAAAGGAGCAGGAAGAAGAAAATTTATAATACCTGCCCCTTTCTTAATAACAAAATATGCTATTGAAACAGAATAAGATGGCTGACCTGTTGTTTTGTTTTCTTTCACAAAACAAAAATAAATCAACAATATAGAAACAATCAAATACAATCATTTAGATTTACTCAATAAATTCACAATTTCCCAAAACTCTTTCTTTATACATTTCTTTAAATTGTATAATACTTGAGCAGCATTTTAAGTGATTGTCGAGAGAATTCCATCATTTAACTCCATTTACTGAACTACACATTTGTTTTAATGTAGTGTGTGCAAATGGACTTTTAAAATTCAATCTCAGTTTATTATCCTCCTCATTAGATGTAAACACAAACAACTTCTGAACATTTTCAGGCAATGATCTATTTCTGTATTTAAACATGACTAGTAATGTTTTCAAATGAACTAGATCTTGAAATTTCAATACATGTGAGCAGATAAATAGTCTGTTAGTATGTTCTCTAACATTCACCTTGTTTATAAGTCTGATCGCTCTTTTCTGTAACACAGTGTTGGTCGCATACATGTTACCTCGGTACAATAACTAAAATATGGAAGAACAGGCAAACAATACAACATATGGAGAGAAGCACAATCCAAAGTGTCCTTTATTTTGTACAAAACACCAATCAATATATCATTGTATTGTGCTTTTTGAAATGTCCATATGTTGTGTAATAGTTTAACATTATATTTACAACAATTTTAATACTCAAATGACACTTAGGGGTGGCTGTGGCTCAGTGCTAGGTTGGGGGTTCGATCCCCAGCTCCTGCAGCCCCATGTTCCGATGTGTCCTGGGGCAAGACCTCACTGCTTTGGCGTTGGGGTAGGAATTTGTATGATATATATATGCCTGTGAAGTTAATACTGATGGACACTTTACAAAGCAGCATCTGCCATCAGTGTGTGAATGTGGGGTGAATGGGTAGGCGTGACCTGGGGTGTAAAAGCGCTTTGAGTAGACAGAACACTAGAAAAGCGATATAAAAGTTAAAGACCATTTACTTTATACAGCTATATTAACCTGCCAAGAGACTGCAGTTGCAAACTAGCTCTAACCTAACTCTAGTACAATGCATCAAATGGCAACATTTATGTTTAATATTGTACATGGTCCCTTAACAACTAAAATAAATAAATAAAAATTAATATGCTCTGTATTTACAATGGACGCCACTCTCTTCTGTCAAGTTGTGACTATGTCTTTTCTATTGTCCTTTTCTCCTCACTCTGTCAACATGTTGGTTAAATATGTGATTTCATTCAAGCATTTCTTTATGCTTGACTCTTTAGCCAACTCCATTAAAGTGGAGCTGTACAGTGATGAAGACCTTGGTCGCAGTACTGAAGATGAGA